GGAAGGATCGCCGGAGCCCAGCAGGTCGAGGCTGCGGTGGCCGGGCGAAAGAGTGAGACTCCAACTCAAAAAAAAAAAAAAAAAAACGAGAAAAGTAGAACAAGACTAGCAGGCAGACTGAAATCAGAAAGAAGGAATCTGGAAGCCAACTGTATGTGGTGATGCCAATGATGAAAAATCTCTCTCTATTTCTCATCTATTTTTCTCCTCTTATCTTTCTCCAGAGGAAGAAGGCTAAGGACTAGGTAGAACTTGGTCCTGAGGGCTTTGCAGAGGGTACTCTCTGGGGTAGTCTCTAATCCTGGGGGCAGGACTCCTAAAGTACAGTCCAGCAGGAAAACATCAAAGCTCAGATATGGATCAGAAGACAGATGCCCAAGGGTCTTGAGTCTAGTTATCTGAACATGACAGAAGTCTGGTCACCAGGCCTGCGATACAAAAGTAGATGAGATTTCATTAGTTTATTTAAGGAAAGAGTTGGGGGGAAAAAGGAGTAGATGGGAGGCTCGTAGTGAGTCTGCCTTGTTGCTGGTCACCTGAGCAACCACATTAGGACTGTTTCTTATTTACCCGGCCTAGCACATACCAAAAAACAAGAGCTCAATAAATGTTTTCTGAATGAATTAATTAATTGATTAAATAAAAAGTAGGCCAGGCCGGGCTCGGTGGCTCAGCCTGTAATCCCACGCCTTTGGGAGGCTGAGGTGAGTGGATTGCCTGAGCCTGCGGGTTTGAGACCCGCCTGGGCAGCGAGACCTCATCTCTACAATAAAATCAAAAAATCAGCCGGGCGTGGTAGCGCATGCCTGTAATTCTGGCTACTTGGAAGGCTGAGGCGGAAGGATTGCCAGAGCCCAGCAGGTCGAGGCTGCGGTGGCCGGGAGCGGCCACTGCACTCCAGTCTGGGTGACAAAGTGAGACTCCAACTCAAAAAAAAAGAAAAAGAAAAAGTAGGCCAGACGCAGTAGCTCAAGCCTGTAATCCCAGTTCTTTGGGAGGCCGAGGCAAGAGGATTTGCCTGAGCCCAGAGGTTACAGACCAGTCTGGGCAACTTGCTGAGACCTCGTCTCTACAACAACTCCAACTCCAAAAAAAAAAAAAGAAAAAAATTAGCCAGGCATGGTGGCATATGTCTGTAGTTCCAGATACTTGAAAGGTTGAGGTGGAAGGATTGCCTGAGCCCAGCAGGTCAATGCTGGGATGGCCACGAGCGTGCCATTGCACTCCAACCTGGGCGATGGAGTGAGCCAACTCAAAAAAAAAAAAGTAAAATCCACTGCGTAGTGACAGGCTTGGTTTCATAGCCTGGGATTAGAGAAGGTGACTAAAGTAAACACAACCATGGCATGTAAGAGGGACCAGGGTCAGGAAAGTCATGTCATTAATGCGCGTCAAGTGCTATTAACAGCATGTGTGGGCTGCCTGAGTTACCAATGTCTGTGCTGAGATGTCAGGTCTGATTCAGCAAACAGCTTTCCCCAGGTCAACCCTATCTAGACAAAGCCCCATTTAGTCCTCTGACCTCTCTGAAGAAGAGAAAAGGAAAAAAAAAAAAAGCAGCAGCAGCAAATGGGGGAAGAGAAAGAGAGAGGGAGGGAGGAGGAAGGATTGATTTTTCAACACTTCATCCCCTTTAAGTCTCCATCTTTATTATCTCAGGTGGGTACTAAAAAATTCCTGTACAAGCCAAGTTCGGTGGCTCAGCCTGTAATCCCGCGCCTTTGGGAGGTGAGGCCTGTGGGTTCGAGACCCGCCTGGGGAACTTGGCGAGACCTCATCTCTACAGTAAATCAAAAATTAGCCGCCATGGTAGCACGCGCCTGTAGTTCCAGCTACTTGGAAGGCTGAGGCGGAAGGATCTCCGGAGCCCAGCAGGTCGAGGCTGTGGTGGCCGGGAGCGGCCACTGCACTCCAGTCTGGGTGACAGAGTGAGACTCCAACTCAAAAAAAAAAAAAAAATTCCTTTACTCTTAAGAGCCTCAATAAATTTGTTTTCTTATGAATGTTCAGGGCTTCTTGTCAATTGTTTTAAAGCAGAAGAATGTAGTAAGACAGATATTTTAGGACTAAATACTAACAATGATCCCAATGATCCTTAGCATAATCAAGTCTCAAGATCCAAGATGAGGATAAGAGAAATTCGTATATACTTGATGGGATAAGCCACTTACAAAAGCCTCCTCTATGAAACAGGTTGTTTCAGGGGTCTTCAAGACTGCCTACATGTGTATAGTACTCATGGCTAAATTTTACCACAGTGAAAGGATCAGCAAGAGGAAAAGACACAGAATCTGGAGAAACCTATACATAAGCTTCCTTACATTCTCCCTCCTGTGAGGGTGTACACCAAGTTTTCTCCTTGCTACAGCAGCAAAATATGCAATAACATGTGTGCAATATTTGTGCCCAGGAAAGGCCACTAGAGACTCAGCATCCTATGTTTTTAATTTGGGGCTGATCATACAGGCACCATCAGCCTAGCAACCAGATTCCCAGGGGAAAGCAAGTGTTCAAGATAAATCATATTGTTTGTAAAAAGAATCTAGGCATAATGAACCACCTCTATCAGTTACAGAATTAAGGGAAGAGCCCAAGTGCCAAGTTCCCAGATGCCAGCCAGGGGCCAACCTTCTAAGCAGTCCTTGTGAAGACAGCAGCCCCAGATCTGCTCTAGTAACTCTTATACACAGAAGTGATTGATAAATGTTGCCAAAGAGACTGAAGTACCTCCCAAAGTAAGTGGCATTAGGGAGCTGCCAACATGAAGCTGTTAATTGTGAAATATCTTATCATCTTGACAATTGAAGTAGTTATGACGAGATACAAAGCTAACAATGTTGCAATTACAGAATGTTCTTGTGACTAGTTAACATGGCAGAAGAAGGAAAGATGAGCTCAAGGTGTGCCAAATGGGAAAGGTGCTACCACTGCTAGAGCTGCAGGACCATCTTCTTAAAAATCATTCAATTCTCTATATTCTCTTCTCTCTTCTACCTGAATCCAACAATCAAAATTCAGATAGACTTGTTGGTCCTCCTACTAAGAAGAGATATGCTGACTAGTTGTTATGAGTTTGATTTAATAAACCAGCATTATGGTACATTCATCAGGCTCATCTAACATAACAGTGATAGTTCATTAGGTTCCCACGTGACTTTTTGTTGATCTTTGCAGTGGTCCTATCACTTACTGTCCTATTTCTGACAGAAGAAGACAGAAGAAAAGAGTGGGGAACTGACCTGTCTAGAGTAACACTAGTATATAATATGATAGTCATTATGTAGAGAATTTAAATTCAGGGTGTCCTATATACCAAACTCAAGTTCATTCCATTCTATCATCCCCTCTTTAACTAGAAGTCAGGTTAGCATCAGTTTGCCAGGATATGCTCACACTGCAGTTGTCTGATAAAATCAAATTTGAGCATCTACCAAGAACCAGATCACTCTGCCAAGGTACCTAAAACAGTCTTTCAGTTTCACCCATCACCAGAACCACAAAAACACTCCAAGTGCAGCAGGCATGTCTCTAGTCACCCCTGCTCCTCTTATCCCTCGGAAAATGTTCTCTTTCCATCTGCCAGAAAGTTGAGTGGTAAAATAATCCCATCCCTTCAGTGTTAACACACTATGCTGAGTCTCATCACACACTGGTGGGTAAAAAAACTGACGTTTACTACTCACCCCTTCTGTGCCTAGCCCTGTGTGAGGCACTTTATGCTAGAATTCATTTAATCCTCAAGAACAATCTCATTTTATAGATAAGCATACAGAGACTCTAAGAGCTAAAGTAACTTGCCCAAGACAACACACAGCAAATGACAGTGCAGAGACCAAAGTTAGGTATGACTTTAAAATCTCTGTTCTTTCCACGGATTCCAGGCACACCTCTGAGTTGCCTCTCACCTTTCTCCCAAGAGGGTTCCTCTGGCACGAGTTCTCCTTTCTCTTCTGCAGCAATCACGAGTTCAGGTCTGTGCCCACTGAGACACAGGTCACTCCCTCGTCCCTGCCACTATCCCGTCTCTAAACGCACCATCTTTTACCCAGACTAACGCCTCAACCTCGTAGAATAACAACGCGCCGTTAGTTTACAACTCAAAAAGCACTTTCAAGGCAGTGTTTCATCTGCCCGCCACCACAATCCGGTGAGCGGGCAAAGCGGGTAAAAGCATCCCCATTTTACAAGAAAGGCATCTTCCCAAGGTCACGAAAAAAAAGCAGGTGAAATTGGAACCAGAGCCCCAGGTTTTGCCCTCTGGTCCTCGGCTCGACTCATCCCACTGATCCTCACCGACGCCCACGTTCCAGCCCCCGCCGCCTGGTCCATCCCACGCCCGCCCACCTGCAGTGTCCCCGCTGGCCTCGCCAACCCCTCCCCCACGGGCCCCCTCTACACTAGTCCCTCTCCCCACGGGTCTCCTCTCCCCGCTAGATCTCTCCTCTCAGGAGTTCACCCCGTCACAGGAAGCCGCGACCCCCGCCTCGACCCCCAGCAGACCCTCGACCCGCCAAGGCGCCCCAGGCCCCTCCTCCTGTCAGCCAGAGGCCGAACCCGCCGGGGCTACCTTCTCCAAAGATGCCGGTCTCTGCACGGCCAGGGAGCGGGCCAGGGACAGGACCGTGTTGAAATAGAAACCCCGCGAGGCACCAGAGCCAGAGCCGGAGCCGCTGCCACCTCCGCGGGCCGCAGCCGCCGCCATCATCCCGCGCGCCGCGGCGCCGCCCGCGGGATCCCAGCACCCGGCCCGCGAGCACCCGACTTAACGACGCAGGCGCAGCCGCATCCGGCTTTCTCGCCACGTGACCTCTGTTGCTGCTAGGGGGTGGGGCGTGGCCGCTGGGGCGGGTCCACCGCGGCAAGGGGGAAGAGAGGCGGTGCAGTAGACTGTGGTTGCGCGCGCAGAACGTGCTCCCCCACGTCTTCCTCTGCCCCGCCCTCCGGCGACCTGCGCATTGGCCAGCTCCGGGGGCAGGGCCATCTGCTCACGGTAGGCGGAAGGAGATCGCGCGACTGCTGGGTGGTCGACGGACGGGGCGAGGCCCTAGACGGCGGTGGTAGTGCTCCTCCTTCTCCTCACCCAGACCGAAAGTGAGCTGGCACCATGTCGACCTTCCCTAAAAGCTACAACCCTTTCGACGACGATGACGCGGAGGACGAGGGCTCCCGACCGGCCCCGCGGAGGGACGTCCGCGACCTCCCAAACGGGCCCGCGGAGCCCGTGGACAGGCAGCAGTACCTGAGACAGGAGGTGCTGCGCAGGGCCGAGGCCACAGCCGCCAGCACCAGCAGGTCCC